GTACAGGAGCTAGTATTCAGCTGTTATTTCTATTATTCTACTATTATTCTGCGCTATTCTCTCCTAAGTATTCCCTGCTTGCCGTCGTCGAATGGATGAGGTAAGTATTTCAAGGAGATAATAATAGCAGGGGGAAATCCGATCAGCTGTTTGGGTGTGTTGTCTGTATTGCAGACATTGCGTCGCCTTCGCGCATTCTCGCCCGAACACTCCCTAACCGCCGTTATTTCAATATGAGACTGGTCCAACCCCCTTTCCAGCTCTTTTTTTGACCCCTTCTATTTCTTTTTCTTCATCGTTTTTTTGCGCTTTTTTCGTTGTTATCGCTCTGTTCTAGAGTAGTTCTGTCAATTCCCGCCAAAAAAGGGTACCCTAACTTTTTTGTGCACGGTGCCTTTAACCCTCTTGCCGTAATGCCTGCACAACATCTTCCTACCCTAGGTTCGTGTCATGTCGTGAAAGCAGGAAGGAATTATGAGAATGGAGATCTCGAGGCTAAGAGGGGAAGAGATGAAAACATGAATAGTGCTTCAAAAAACATACAATGAACACATATCCTATGCAGCTCTGAGCAGCAAATAAACCAGTGGGCAAAAAATAAAGGTGAAAAAGTAAAGTGAAATGGTAACGCGTTAAACAATCACAAACTGCACTAGAAGGTAAGCGAGAGCTTTAAGAGCGACTCACTACCACATCCTCAAGAGAGCCTAAGGGAAACTTAAAGACAAAAAATCAGCGTAGAATATGACTGCTACACAATAGATGGCCTGTCTTGTCGTTGCCTTCACTATCTTTTCTTGACGACCAACTGCTGACCACTTAACTGCTTGCAATGACTGATATGACGTTGACTTTGACGTTGATATTAAGCTCCACGACGTTGACTCGACCGTGATTTTCGCATCGAACCATAACCGACTTCCAACGACCAACGATCGAACTCGACATCGACCGGCACCGTCTTGAGCATCAGCAATTGTCGCCCTCAACCACTCGACTCGTTGATCGCTGCCTCAACCAGCTTCCTCGAACAACCAACCACTTAACCAACGAATCGACCAATACCTAAACGACAGACAGGGGGTATGCACCCTAAGGGTGCACTTTAAACACGCATTAAAACACGGACATAAGAGACTGACAAAAATGTTACGACAAACAAACTTACCTGCGCAAACTTACCTCCGCATCTTATTGCCAAACAATCAAGTCGAAACACATTGTCCGTCAATCATGCCTGGAAACGCATTAACGGATGGGATCAGACCACTGGCCGAACGTATTAATGCACTGGGCGACCAACTAGTACGTTCCTCTCGCTACCTCCGGTCTCTCCGGTCGCGATACGGTGTCCTAGTTCGGTCTCTTTCTCTCTAAGAGGGTCGCCTATCCACCGAGCGAGATCTACGTCTTGCATGCGGCGGGTATTGCTGACTGCGTGGAGGGATGTCCAAGTACGAAACACCTGCTGTGTTAATGTAAGACTGCGGTGCCGTAGACGCAATACTCAAACTTGAACCTCGTAAATGGTATTCCTCCATTTGACCTTTACCGACGTCGCTATACCTATTTCTACTAGCTACTCGTCTCCTTTTCCAGCCTCCTTGGCCCCGACGACTCGAGGATCTGAACCCGTGGGGTCCATCCTCCCGACCCAGAGAGAAAGTAGAGCCCGCAAAGGGTAGAGAGTCATATGGCGGTTGGTATGCGGGATGCCTGAATGAAGGTGTCGGCCCTTGTTGCTGTTTTTGAACCGAGGAGGGCTCAGAAGTTTTAGGTCCGAAGCCTCCTGACTTGAACTGGGCCTGTCAGGTTCAGTGTTTGATGCCTCAGCAGATTGAGGTGGAACAGACTCAATAATAATCTGCTCTACTCTTTCCACTGTAAGGCGACGGAATCTTTTGTTGGATCTGTACTCTTGGTCATACTTCTTTCTCCACCATTCAAGGTATTCCGGAACGGAGTCTTCCTCGTAAGACGACATAATCCCCATTCCATAACACGTCATGAGAATAACCGCCTCTGGATCAGCATCGCGGTGATCTTGAAGGAGTGCCTGTTGGTGAAACTCGATCCAGCGGATGAGTCTGGTGAGGTGCGCACAAATGGCCGATGTACGGTGAAGCAGAGGTAGAAGTGTGTCCACGGAGACTTCTTGTAACTCTAACGCAATACAAAACTCGTCACGGTTCACGTTGTTATCGAAAAAGAGAGGAAAATTCCCCTCCTGGAGAACTTCTCCATGAACCGTGATTAAACAATGGAACAATTCCGTCCTCCGTGCTGCCAGATTAACATAATTACCCTCAAACCAATAATCCCCTTTGAAGGCGACCAAACATTCTTCCATAAATTTAACAGCGTTATCGAGCAATAAACGAATTAAACGATGCGAATTTACAATTGCAACAATACTATCATGGGAGCAGCAGTAATAGAATAAAACTTCTGAAAGCCTATACGAAATAATGTAAGATGTAGCACAACACAACGACGATGGAGCAGAGAGATGGAAAAGAAGACCCTGCGATGTAACGATGGAACAAAGGCAAAACTGCAAGATCGAAATCGAAAGTGTTACCAGTGGTGAAAGCCAACTAAGTCCTGCAGTTGTTATGAAATGCCATAACCGAACAGCATTTTGCACCAGGTCCCGAGGCGACGTCTGGTGTACTGTAGGTGTTGTCCTTTGTACACCATTGCTGCCTAAGGCTACTAACTACTAAAACGACACGCTAACAAGAGGGTGTGTGCCCCCATTCTCGTCAGAATGATGAGAATGAAGGACAGTGGAAAGGAACTCATCGAGAAGAAAAACTGACAAGAGGAAGAAGCTTGGAAAGGGGGTGAGAAAAAAGATAGATACAAGGATGGGAGTAAATCGACGACTATACTTGAACCGAGAGAGAAAAAGAAATTAGTCTAAAAAGGAAAGAATCAAATTGACTAGAAAGACGACTAGTCTAATAGGAAAGAGCTGAGTTAAATAGTGAAGACTGACAGAAACTTACCTCAGGTGTGTCCCATACACTAGTTTCAATGATGGAATCCTCGTGGGAAGCGTCTGTGACATAGAATATGTCCTCGGCTTCCGCTGTTAAACCTTTTCAGTTGAATCTTAAGCTATCGACACATGGAGTTTCAACAGAGTAAGCTGATGCTCCATCGTCTGCCATGTTAGGCTTCAACCAATGATGACATGAAGATCGTCATAGGTCTTCTTGAATATAGACACAGTTGAGTGGCACTCGCTTACAGACGACCTCGAACGAGTAGGGACTCAACCATCCCGACATCCTGACCTTCAATTTGAGGCACAGCTATGAGTCCTAGAAGCAGTATAGTGAAACCAAACGAGTTTGGCTCCACAATGAAACTTGATAGTGAATGAGCTTCCTAGGTGACTTGAAGAGAGAAACTGCGCAACATAGTAACTCGTGGAAGTCGTTGGTCTTTCAAGCGGTAACACTGAACGATAATCCCGTATTAAACGAAAACTCAAAACTCGATCTCCGTTTCCATAGTCGAGCCAGTGAGATGTTGAGATGCATCGTTGTGTGCGACCACATCGACGGAGATCCGCCGGAAGTGGCCAAAACACACTCCTAGGGAGAGCTTCTGGTCACACGATCTGCTGGGTTGGGTCCTGGTGAAAGACATTGAACAAAAATGAGTTGAACGCCAATCTTCCTTAAACATTATAGTCCAATGTACTAGGAATCTGATTGGCCAGAATGTGGACAACCATTTCTGCAGAACAACCCATACAAGTCCAGTAGAGTAGGATATCGAATCGAGAAGGGGTCAACCAGTTTTGATATTAATCGTCGGCTCCTTGGGCGGAAATGAGTCAGTGACACGAATATATCACGTGCCGTCAATCCTAGGCTAGGTATAGTGGTTTCCTCAACAGAAGCCGACCCCGTCTCCACTATGAGGAGGTGACGAAGCAAAAATGAGCCTAATGTACCGCTCAATGGGTAAGCTACCGCTAAATACACTTTCATGGAAGCATCCACAAGCAACAAAGGCTCATGCACAGCATACTTTCGACAACAAACAGCTACCCTTGGTAGGGTGCAAACTTTAACTTTCAATGCTGTCCACAACCTCCTGCCACTTAACTGAACACAGCTCTATAAGGAGTGTATCCAACAAGTAGCCGTCCTTTTCAAGGGTCCTGAATAAGGATCTAGCCTAAACAAACGATGAAAAGATAGCCAGGAAGGTCGAAATCGAACGCGATCGCTCAGAGAGCGGTGCGTTTCATCGTAACCGAAGTGAGATGCCAAGAATAATCGAATATAAAGAGTTCCCAATTGGGGTTCTGCTTCAACCCGAGCAACTCAAGCGCCTCACAGGTTATGCTCATACAATCTACTTTGGAATCGAGTGCGCTGCAACCGGGTAATTGAACATGAACTTTTTTAAGGCTCATGCCCGAGCGATAGAAGATTTGTTTACACTCCTTTGCTTCTTAACGCACTCCTCAGTGCTGTTCACGCCGATGAGCACATTATGCACATCAGAAGCGAAAATGACACTGCCAAGTAAAGATGCAAGATGCTTAAGCCACAAAATCCTAATAACGCCCCACTGATCTTTCTAAAGGCGCATGTAGCGTTCCCCAGACCACTAATGATGAGGAATGTGATACACGGGATTGTAACGAAGTACCTGTTAAATCTGACAACTAGGTAAGTTTTTGACGCAAACAAGGTTTCAGGTCGGATAATTCTGTCTGATGACTGGAAGCATCAAAGACGACTCTCACTGCGGTCGTGACGTCATTCGCTCTGAGAACCGCCGGACAAGGCATGTAATATGCTAACAGTTCATCAAAAGTGAAGTCTTCCACTTCCTCAATGGTGCATGACTACTTCTAATTCTGGAACGCCTTACAATACTGAACCCACAGCTCTTCATCGTCATGGCGAGTATCCTGCTGGTACTGTAGCCGTTCCAGGGCAACATACTTATTGTCCAATAACCGTGGATGATGTCATTCCCATGGAAATTGAACACGTATGATGCAAGTAATAACCTAGACAGTGCCGTGGTGATGTTGGATGACCTCGGTATTGGATTCGTCATCGCGCCACGGCCTGATACTATCACTCATGAATAGGCTCCGAAGTTACCTAATATCCGGATCAGAGTTCTTCACACGTCCGGGTTGGGTACACTAACGATGGATTAACGGAAACGTGATCAGAACACAACTCACACAAACACGCGTAAACACACGCGCACATACAAACATACACACATATGAACGCACACAAAAACTCACAAACCATGCACACATCCCTGAAGATAGTATCCACTGGACTGAGGTTTGCATAGACGATGATCAGTCCAAATGACAACGTTCCTACTTTGATCGAGTCAACAGTTTTGCAGTAATGATCCTAATGAGTGCGTCAGCATCGACGTCCTCCTGGGTGGTCAAACTGCTGGGATAAGGTAACCGGAACAATTTCACGACTCGAAATGTACATCTGCGCGGACAGATGGAGTAACTTTGCAAGTTCGAAACGGAAAACAAGGTTTGCCGTTCATTCGCCCTCGCAAAGCAACCTACGCGAGATATGAGACTTCGAATGTCGTGAAACGTTCACATTTCGCATGATGACAATTGCGGACCGGTAGAGTGGAGCCTAAGTCTGCGCAGTAGTCGCTTCTGATAAAGCTAGGCTGCGCCCCGCTAGCTAAGCTATGCTAGCAGTGATGCAAGTAGCTTGTCGGCCAGCGTGATGTTATTACGCGCTCGAGCTGTGACTACTAGGAGGCGTGAGTTGCCTGATGGCTGCCTACGACTACGCGTAACTAAATAGTGGACACCATTCGAGTCAAATAAAAGATCTTTACTCTCGTCGTCCACAAGGTCCTTTACATACTACGGCTCTGAGGCTGTCGTTCTCACACGGTCCCGGTAGGAATCGCGGAAACGGCGTCCCCTGGAGAGGAAGTATGTGAAACTGCATCTGAGTGTAGGAGAAGATAATTGCTTCTTTCGTGGCGATCTTGCTCGCTCACTTGGTGAACGGTACGAACTGGATAACCTTCTTCCACTGGAGTACCCTGGATGACTTGCTATAGGCTGCACGGTAACAGTATCGGGCTTCTTCGCGGCAGAATGATCTGCGACGATTGCCCTGTCACGAGGGACAAGGTGCTCTATCACAGTCTTCTACCAGATGGCATCCGAAGCCTAAACAATCCTAAAGAACAACCTTCTAACCAGCCATGGATGGTATTACAGGGTCACACTATGGAATACAATGGCGCAAACCGCAGAAACATACACATCCCGCTTTGAGCGCCTCAACGAGGGGCTTTGACGGGTGTAAGAATACCTTACAGCACTAGAAGGTGAAGATCTACGAGAGGGAGGTGTAACTCCACCTCTATGTGCCAAATGGTGACGCTAGTGCCTACGACGGAGTAGCTTCGTCTAGTAAGGAGCCATCGACGCCTCAAGGGCTCTGATCACTTGATCGAGAGCCTCGAGAAGATGATGTTCTCCTCTAGGGGAAGGGTCCCTCGCCTGGGTATCTCCTACATGCTCTAGAGTCTCGATGGAAACTGCGTATTATACGCATTGCGTAGGTATTGCCGTCATGGGCTCCGAATCTTTCGAGTTGGAGCCATAGCGACCTGACTCGCGCTAGCGTAACACGCTAAATGAGCACAAAAGTCGTTGCTGGCTTTAACTACTACAAATAACTGCTTAGTTGGACACAAAGGGACACGGATGGAAATAAATATCCCCAAAGGTAGTAACGACCAACTGATAAACAACATCCATAATCTCGGAGCCTAAGTGCCCCATTCTTAAGTGAAGTTCTGAGGTACTGAAACTGGGCCATAGATAGAGTAGTGCGGTTCGAATGAACCGCTTGGTCAAGAACATCCCAGAACTCCGCGAACTTGGCAGTATCTCTAGTAAGGACTGGGAGGTCGAACTCTGGCAAACAAATAAATTGCTCACGAAAAAGTTAATTAACCAGCAAAGTAGAAACATGAGGTGGACCTGCTCCGAGTCCCGAAGGGAGCGAGTTAGAAACACCAATCTCCTGCGACCCATGCAGCGCTCTCTGCTGCGTTCCCTGTTCTCCGGAGACCTCCTCCTCGGAGCCGAGGGATCGCCTCAACGGAATATCGGCAATGGGTCGAAATCGTGATGACATAGTAGTATGAACCGGAAAAGAAGAAAGTGTATTGTCCTGGGCTGACATGATTACGGCTATCTCAAGCCCACCCAGAGGTTCCCTGACCCAGTCTTCAACGACCGCTATACCGCTGGTGAACCAGTGGTTGGTATAGGTGCTGGTGAATACTTGCGTCGTGCTTGAGGGCATGCTGGGTGTCAGCTGCCCAATATGGGGAGTCTACCTCCAGTCCCTGGTTGATAATAGAATCGGTGAGATGGGAGATGGAATTACCCTATGGCCTTTCACATAACACTGGAATCAATTCTTCGGCTCCACCAGTGTGAATTTGGAATATTTTTCTCAGAGGATTACGCACTGGCTGACCAACATTAACCAATAGACTCTCATTTTGTTACTGCACCTTCAGTCATCTCCACTCTTCAATGTAGAACGTGCAGATCTCGATGTCGCGAAATGACTATCTGGACACTTATCATAAGAACAAGGCTCTGTTGGGTTTTCGCAAAAGAAAGGTCAGCTTGCGCAGACCTGTTGTTATCGAAAGAATGAATGTATTGAACAGGGTGGGCCAAATTATGATTACACAGACATTGCATCCCCGAAAACGAATAGAAGGCTAAAAAAGCAAACCAATTTCATAAAAGTGTCTATCACCAATCTTTTATCAAAATGGTACATTGAGACTGGGATCTGTTGCTCTCTGCTTTCACTCAACCTCACAGACGATGATGGGCAACATTAGTGGTGGCACGCAGCTAAGGTCTTCGAGTTGGTCCGAGCTTTTTGCAAGGCATTTTCAAATTATTTCACTTCTTGTTTGGGCCAACGGATGCTCTCATCTCAAAGGCCGACCACACTGAGACATCCATGGGATTTAATTCAGGGCTCCAGAGCGGTCACTGATCGAAGGTTATGAAGTCAGGGAACCCCTTTTACGGTATTCCTAGACAATTTCTGATCTGCAGTCAGGAGCACCATCTTGACAGTATGTCCGGTTTGAATCGCCAAAGTGTTCTGTTGCGCACGAAGAAATCGAACAGGTCTCCAAATCAACTTTCACCCTTATTTTGCAAAAATAATCGATTGCCTGCAATGCAATTTGCCTGACATTCGCAAAGGATATCGTAGAAAGTGAGCAGACCTAGCGCTGCATCACTTCCATCCCTTTCTAGGGCAATTTTTTGTGCTCGGCGGGGCAGCTTTGATGAGCCAACATTTCTCTTCTTTTTAGTCTGCTCACTGGCGGAATCACTTTCCGATCGTATAAAGGCCTTGTCGTTCAGATGATGCTTCACGATTTCGCGCAGAGAGCTTTATGAGATATCCATTCATTTAGTCATTTTTCGCTCAGAATGAACTTCGCTTTCACGCAGACCTTCATAAAAACCTTCATGCTAGACCTTCATGCTTCATAAAATTCCCACTAAATATAACCGTAGGCCTCCTAGGATTACCACTCCTATCTGCAACTGTTCCTCACTCTCGAAAGCGTCTTATACTCGAATGTACCCCCCCTGCCTTCTTTTGCTGAGTCATCTGTGGCTGCACCGAGCCAAATATGCTTGTAAATGCAAAGTGACGATTTATTCATGAAGGTAATTACGCTTACATTATTTTCAAAATCTACCAAAAGTTTAGTATGATCAGGAATGTAATAATGTAATCTACTGTGGAATAGAAGAACGCGATCGAATTGCTATGACCTCAGAAAAATTCGTTATGAGCGTCACTGCGCGCTGTGATCATATTTTGGCCCACCCTGTAATATGTTGCGGCAACAGAGCTGAGGTACCAATCCTTCCGAAACACATTTTTACGACCTTTCTTCTTCTATTGTTTTTCTTTCGAGCACCTGAAACAACTCCTTGCCCAGACAAAGTTAGCTTATTCTAGAAGCGACAAAGCCCTTGCGAACATCTGATTGATGGCTATGGTCAGTTTAAAGTGTGGAATTCATGAATTCGGAACGCAGAAGGAGGTTCTATGAAAAATTATTTCAGGCTCAAAAAACATCAACTACCATGCTCCCTAAACTTCAGAATGTCACCGTAACCACATATGGCAGCTCAGTCCAAAATCTTGCTGTCCAATCGGAGGAAAATAGTCGATAAACTCTCCTCAATTCTAGTGGAATGCTGAAGACAGCTATGATGAATATACTGCAAATTGTATCTCTATTGGTCAAAGAATACGAAGTGTGTATCCAACCAACTCATGGTCGCTACTTCGATCCAATGATGACGAATCACACGATTCGTGTTGTTCCAAGCGAAACGTGGATTTCTTGTGTGGTTCGGCTAATGGCCCTATGAAAATGCCGAAAGATATCTGCGGTGAAAATGTAGTTGTGGGGGTGGGACCCATAATTGGATATGAAGAAATGAACTCAGTGTACGTGTTCATTCATATTGAGCGCTGTATCAGAGACGATGTGAAGGATTGGCTCCAGCCATCTGCGTGCTTTTATGTGGCTTCGGCAAGGGGAACGTAGTTGCTTAAGTGAGCTTAGGCAGGGTAAAAGCACGTGTGTGGGTGGGATGGTTACCTCGAGCGAAACGAAAGAAAAAAAGAAAGAATATAAGAATATATGCCCTCCGTGGTGCTCCTTCCTCGTATTGCATAGTGCCGTGACAGAGCCCGAATGCAAAACTCACATTTCGGAGGACTGTAGCTAGTGCAGAATTTACATCTCCTTGAAGAGTCTTTTTTTCTACATCTGTTAGTTCAAACAAGATTAAGCTCTAAATTTTTTTAAGAGGAGTATAATTTTATACTATTATGTTATAGTTTTGAATGCTTCCTGCATGCTGAGTCTTCACCATCTATATGTGCACGTTCTTACCCTGGAGGTGTGGAGATGACTGAGAGTGCAGTAACAAAATAAGAGTCTACTGGTTAATGTTGGTCAGCCAATGCGTAATCCTCTGAGAAAAATATTCCAAATTCACACTGGTGGAGCCGAAGAACAGTGGTTCGCCAGAGCTCAATGTAAAGACTGTCGTCTTCGTTGAAGGCTGAGTGAAATGATGATGTTAGCTTCGGTAGAAGCGAGTCAGCACATGATATTCGCATGGCTTCAAGGTTTTCATGGCAGTTATGTTTTGAGAAACTGTTCTCAAGCCGTTGCGGCGCTCTACCGTGACAATTTGCAAGCGTCATAGTTGAACGACCACGCAAAAGGCTCATATCCAGGTGTTCATGATCATTTCGAATGTGCTTGCAGAACCATGAAGCTATTGTAGTCACTCAAAAAATGTGAATGTTTTTTCCACTCGCGGGGCTCTGCCGCGTTAATTTCGAGCATGCGGCAATGGAAGATCTTGTTATTAATCACGTTTCATGTCCTTTTAATAATGCTCACTTTCGTTCCAGGAGTAAAACTAGAGGGTCATTGTGCCTTCCAAAAAGTATCGAAATTTCCCGAGCTATCGAGCATTTTGCCACGTCAACCTGGCAGTGTATTACTGGAGTCAATAACATCGTCAATAGTATGCTCGATTACGTTTCCCCACTAATTACAAATGCAAGCGTATTTAAAAGATACAGTTCACTGTGGTGATCATGGAAAGGTATCAAGATGTTTCTGTGCAATTCGTTCTTTGCACTAACGGTAAGTTCGCTTCCTTTACACTTTTCTAGGAAAATTGTTCAGTATAAATAAACAGGTTTTGGCGTCCTCGGTGGCTCCAGTCCATGTCGCAACGAAAGTTCTTCAAGATGGTGAGTAGTCTTACGGGCAAGATATGCTTTCTAAAAAGCTCTGGAAGAAAAAGATCTGTTGTTTATTCGACACCATGCTCCATTGAAAGTTCTCAACAGCCAGAAACTCCCGATTACTCTTTAGAATACCTTCAAAGGAGTTCCTCAAAAAAGTAATTCAACATAGGTATGCGAGGAGCACGGCAGTTATGACACTAAGTAATGCACAAGTAATGTATTTGCTATGAGTGCTATCGTTACGATAATTTTGAGCTGTTTGGGCTACACGGTCCTTGTCATAATCAGTGAATTACACCAGGGTATTGATTAAGTTCACTAGCGCTCTCTTTCAATATAGGATTATAACAAGTAGGGAGTAGAGATCTGTTGAAGTAATTAGGAAGCATCATTGACTTCCTCATACAATACCAGTGAGGTGAAATGTGTCGTTTGATTCAATGACAACCACCTTGCAACTAGCTCGAAATGGGTCCATGTGAGAAGTAAGCACATTGGTGGAGCTTGCATGAAATAGGCCTCCAAATTTCAAAGAGGAGAAATGAAGCATAGAAATGTTGGGGGTAAGAAAGAACAAAACAATAACTGCGTCCGGTATGATCATTGTGAGTAAAAATTTATACGACTTTTAAGTTTGCACTTCAATAGACGGCGACTATAGCTAATTAGCATTCGGTTTATGTAGTACATTTCTGCAGTATTTGCCCTGGCTGAAATTCCCTCTCTTCAGAATCGAAATAACATCGTCTTAGTGATGACTTGCTTTTTCAATTGACACTTCAGAAACCCTTCACGAACATTTCATGTTTCTTATGCCCAATATTCTTGACTTGTTGTCCATGAGATTCTATCAGACTTTTTCCGTAGGTGTGGTATTCGAGAGAAAAATTCCTTCGAAAGGGGGCTTGTCGATGTGAGAAACATTGCAGAATTCAATTGCAAGATCAGTGGCACCACCATGACGCCCGAGAAACGAAAACGTTCTGTGTATCTGGCTAACGCTTATCGTACAATCGCAACAACCGGCGTATTTGGGTATCCACCTAGTCAGAACATGTATCAGCTGGTGAGTGGGTGTTCTTCGACGTAAGTGCTGCGATATGCACTGCGTTAAGAAATGAATCAGGAGCTAAAAGTAGAGGCAAAACTGTCATCAAGAAAACACTTCAATTTGTGTTGGTGAGTATGTGAACTCCACTACAACAAATCCAATTTCTCGAGTTAGGGCGTCAATAACTGTAGCCAAAAGTCGGTGCTCTCGTAAAATTCAGCGAGATTTTCTCGGAACTATTCCTGCTTGGCTGAGGAATACGCTATGATGCTCTCCAATCAGCAAGCATCACTCAATCCTGTTGGGTAGTCTATTTTTCGTAGCTTTGTTAAATGGTAGAGTTCTTTGGAAAACAAGATCTTTACGATTGAATTAGGCCGAACTACGAGAATTCTATCTTCCATGCACTGAACATCAGAGCGAATAACGCACTAAAAATCAAGAAAAACAACTCGTAATCCAGGAAGCTGTCCTCTGACCCAATAGCAGCAGAATTCGAATTGTGGTGGGGCAATCACGACTTTGGTGCCTTTTTCAATAGCACTGCCGTGTGTAGTCCTAATTTCGACTACACCGCATTTTCTCAAGTGAGTTCAATCAGTAAGCCCATCTTGAATGCATTTTTATAGGCAACATGAGTGTTTTTCAATTGGTTTCGGGGTACGCTGTCAGCATAGGGTGCACCGATACGTGCTATGGCCAAAAGCAGGCGTATTGCGCATTCGATGTCTGGTTAGTTTAGATTTGAGTTTTGACCTCATTTCAGAGTATTATAACCAGTACTGAGTATGTATTTTTCTTTTGCTCTTCCCTTCTCTTTTCTTAAGACTCAAGAAATAAACGGAGAAGAAGTAAAAATGCATCTTCAGAAGTTGTGCGCCTCGTAGCTCTGAGTGTAGGACTCCGTTTTTCAATCGTGCTCTTTTCCGCCTAAATTGGCTTGCATATATTTCAAGCAATTTATTGGCGAGAAATGTCTCAACAAAGAAAATTTGATTTGCATAGATGTTCCTCGCTTTTTCCTACTGATACAGCGTGTGATCTTGAGGTGTGGCATAACATAAAAAATTCGAAAAAATATTCTAGCTCCTAGCCCTTCACCTTCTTCGCTCGCTCACCTACGCTACCAATTTGTTTTCAGGGATTTATTTTGATTTCTTATCACTAACGGTTCACTTAATGCCCGCATTTTCTTCTCCAAGCTTTGATTTTATCAAGCGGATTTGCACCTCCAGAAATGTCGCAAGATTGAATTGGGCTGAAGCATATTGTGTTATCTACGTAGCAACACTTGAAATAACACATTTCCCGGACCTCACTGTATTAGTCAACCGCGAGCCATTTTCAGTAACAGTTTTCATTTTTTCTGGCACAGCCATGACTTACTTCGGCATGATCTATGAAGTCGCATCTGGTCCGTGTATGGTCGACAGCGACTGCACCACGTTCCCTGGTTCAACGTGCAACACGAAAAATGGACTGTGCATTAAAAACCCAAACACTCCCCTTTGTCCGTCAAAAGTGTAACAAGCCCACCCTTACAACTACAGCAAGCACAAGTGCTTCCACTGCTGTTTGTTTCACATAACCATTGTTATGTCAAAGAGAATAAACAGTGCTTCGTTAGGAGGGCGTCTGTTATGCCTCATAGAGTATTAAGTGCAGTGAAAACGAAAGTTTTGCAAGCACAATACTTGAGGAGAAAGTTAATGAAAAGAAAGTGGAAGAGAAAAGGACGAGATAATCCATGTGTGAGGTTTGCCGGTAAAGCAAAACCAACGAAACGGAGTCGCAAAAAGCGCGATAAGTTAGTTATTAGGGATCATGCGTGGATGCTGATGGAAAGTGTTAATATTTAATGATGGTTGTCTATAGAAATCACTGAAGAAGATTCCGCTGTTGCCATGATATTCCGTTATTATTCAAATGTATAGTACATCGATGCTGCCTCCTGAAATTAAAACTAGTAATGGATATTTTTTTAAGGGAAAAAGGACAGAGGTCAGAAAGAAAGCGTTTGAATACGTGTCAATTAAGTATTGTCTGGTTGTACATCGATCATCCAATGTGCGCAATCGTGAATGAAAGCGCAGAAATTTTTTTTTAAAGTACAAACTTTCCTTGGCCTCCCATCTTGCCGGACTTCATTTCTGAACTACTTTTACTTTTCTTCTTAGAGTTACTCCGTGTGTCTTCTTGCGTTTCCTTTACACAACGTAAGTGTCCGGACATTCGTAACGGACTTCCTCGCCAGACTACGATATAACATTTTGGTCACTGCATTATATGGTTGGTGGCTGATTTAGCGGATTGCTGTAAAAGTTTGGTCCATCGGTCTAATAGTGTTACATGACGACATCAAGAGTTCTGGCCCCTGTACTACCGAATCTTTGCAAAACCTCATTGTGGTCCACATCGATTTGAAAGATGGAAGCTATCATTGACCACAGGTCATTCCAAGCCCACAGAATATCCAAGATGTGCGGCGTCGTCCCGCGCCCGCATTTCCCTTTATCGTCCCAGACCTTTAGGGATGGATATTTTCCCCGGTATCCGAGAATAGGGCTCATCCGAGATAGAACCCCTAGGAGGACCGCGGCGAGTCCATCAGGGGCTCCGCAGGACTTAAGTGCAGATATCCCAGGGATCCTGGTCTGAGGAGGGAACAATGGCGCCACTGAGCTCCCAGCTGGCAGGTTGCCACAGTCCTGCCGGACTAAAAGCCCTATTTTCTCCCCGCCAGTTCGCATCCCGATTAGGATGCTATACTTGGCGTCCGATGTGCCAAAAAATGAGGGCGGTGCCTACCCAGGGATTTTGTCCCCAGGTCCCCCATCTGGGTCCGCCAGCCAGGTTTCCCCGGTGAGTGGGAGGCGGTCAGTGGTATGCCGTCCCTGTATCAGTTCCCTAGTCCCTGTCTTCGGGAACGGGCGGGTTCGGTTCTCACGGAATGCATGCACCATGTCGCGAGTTGATGGCCACTCTTTGAAGCGCCATCCGCATCGGCGGTACGAGCACCTCAAACGTCTTCGCTCACCGGACCTCCACGCCCTACCTGCGCCCCGAGACAGGAGGGCGGACCAACCGCCGAGGACCAAGGGGTGTCGGCTCAAGGCCATCGCCTTGCCGAGCGACCTCAGCCTAGTACCTCGCGACGGGATCCCTGCCCCCGACACAGAGACCAGCTGACTGAGCGCGGCGACATAATCTACTTTTCCCGTCGCGACCAACCAGAGTGCCCTACCTTACTTACTTTTCCGAGACAAGTACAAAAGCAAGGAACACTGGTTTATTATGCTAACTATGAAATATACTATAACTACGAAATGCTAAATAAGGAACTACGCTCTAAGGATAGACATGTGGGACAGAGTCAAGGAGTAACACAAGAATGTAAAATGATTATCATGAATAAAGCATATCAAATATGGCAATGACGCGATATGTACAAAGCATATATACAAAGCACGACACTCCCCTATCCCTCGATCTTCAGGCTTCCTTCAAGGCAAGNCTCTAAGGATAGACATGTGGGACAGAGTCAAGGAGTAACACAAGAATGTAAAATGATTATCATGAATAAAGCATATCAAATATGGCAATGACGCGATATGTACAAAGCATATATACAAAGCACGACACTCCCCTATCCCTCGATCTTCAGGCTTCCTTCAAGGCAAGCTCCTTCAGCTGTCCATCAGGCCCTCATTGGCCTCGACGGTCTTCTTGCCTTCCTTCTTCCTCAGTATCCGACAGGAGACAACTGCACGCCCTCGGAGTGGGGTGCTCGGATACTGGTCGGGCTGGCGCTCCGCTGCCCTATGGACAACTTCCCAGCGTTGCCCGGCTATACCGACCAGCAGCCGACAGCCAGCCGGTCGCGGTGAATGACTAGTGACGACTATCTAGGCTATGCGAAGGAACGCGCACAACGCGCGCACATACGCGCCGCGTTGTGGCGGCCGAGCAAAGATGGGCCGGGGCGCGCGCGGTGCGCAGAGCGGCCACCGTCGCATCCGCGACAATTGCCATCAGCAGCAACTTGGTATCTTCTCCGGTTTTTGCGACCTACACTCGACTTCTTAGACCACCTTTTGCGGTCCGACCATGGAAAACCCTCAAAAACAAAAACAGGTCCCATTCTATTCGGCGTTACACTTTTATTTAACCCCACTATTTTCCAGACGATTCGAGTGGATAACGGATGTGGAACTGGTCTTAGAGGCACAGTTCACGATAATTTTGTATATCCAGATGATGGCGAAAAAGATAATATGGAAAGTAGTGTCATGAAGGCAGAGGAACTGCGTGAATAGGTGATTCCAAAGTAAAAAAATGCTTTGAAAAGTCGTTAAAAAGGGGGCTGGACAAGAATGAGGCCAGAAAAATGAAGAAGAGTGGGGCGTTTGGACAAGCTATACAATGTGGATCACTGTATACGTGTGGGTCCTGGTACAAGAAACTGACTACGGTGAGCAAAAGTTCATGTACTTGTAATCATGAGCAAACAAAAAACCCTAATAACAACAAAAATAGCTCACCTTTTTCAGCCTTTTGGAGTAGGAAATTGAATAAGGGATTGCGGCAGCAAAAAGAATAACAGAGAGAAAAAAGAATGCGAGAAAAAAATCATCTCATCACTCCGCGATCAGCTGATTGTGTGTGGGTCCTGACGCTAATACAATCAGTATCGCCACGACACTCGCCTGACGTGACATAGATCGAGGAGCGGGAAGGCCGCGCTGCTGAGAACAGGGCTTCCACTATGCCCGAACCGACGACTTTCTGGGCACGAGAAGGTCCTTTCCATTGCCCTTGGGGGCCACTGAATATTCTCAGTAGCTATTTTTATCATGAACCGTGCCTTTAAGGCCCTCTTAGGGGAGCCATTCAACCTGGAAGAGAACCTGGAAGAAGATCGTAATATTGTACTTTTGGTCTCATGTGGCAGAAGGCATCTTAGCTCTCGCTCGCGCCTGCGACGCCTGTCGATGTTAGCGTCTTGAACGAGCGCCTATCAGGAGCCCCTCCGTACAGTGGTCAGAGGCCATTTTCGAGAAGGTCTAGGTAGACCTTACTGGTCCCCGGTCCGGCAAGCTTGCGCCATTCACAGATTTGTGTGGCTTTGATCTACACAGTCGATCTCCCCCCGGGGATCGACTGTGTAGGTCAAGCCGGAGTGACTGGTGAAAATACCCAAAGTCGCTAATAAACGCTACCCACGGCGATGCACAACCAGCGGCAGGAAACTGACCTCGGATCACCTCATTCATTAATCTCCATCCTCGGGGCTCCCTGTCCCTACCTCTGTGTTCCAGCACATATAAAAACGCCCCGTTAGGAACTTTGGGCTCTGGGCAAACAGCTCCAGTCGATTACAGATCAGCTTCATCGCTTCTGATTTGCTCCCCTTTAGAATGTTCTTCTTGTATTCTGAAGAGGTAACGCAGGAATCCCAAAAATATTTTCGACAAGCTCCGAAGAAGACGGATCCGCAAAAACGTAAGCTGGCTGCGAATAAAGCGTTCAGTAATTTCGGGGGCTAAGACAACTAGACAATAAAAGTGGTCGACTGAAAAGCGATGACATCACGAGGTGTCTATCTGTCCGTCCGCTGCGATTACGTGAACGGGACTCGAAATAGTAAGTCAAATCAAGTTATAAGATAAGGATTCGTCAGTTCCGTTCACTCACCAAAATTACGAGGGCGGGACTCGAAATGTCAGGTCAAGATTGTCAGAT